TCTCGACTCCTCCTCCGCCCTCGTCTATCTCAGCGTGCCCACCACCTCCTCTTTGACCGACGCAGTCGTTTCGCTTGGAATTACCAAAACCACCACCGTTCTTGTTCACAGCGCTGATGCCCTAGCCTCAACCACCGTCACCCAAGCACTGCCTCCTGTTAGCGCAATTGTCGCTGAAACTCCAGCTAGCAAATTGACTTTACACTCCTCAGTCACCCCACCCAGCCACAACTCTCAGATTGTAGTTGCTGACGATCAGACTCAAGCTCCGAGCCAAACGACCTCTTTCAATAACAATAGCCCCATTGAAGTGCATGAACCGTTGTCGACTTCATCCGCTGACGATGCCACTGCCACCACTACTGCAATCTTACCTACTGCTGATCAAACTATAGCAGACCTCCATCCTCACTCTGATCCTCGATCACACCGTGATTTTGCTGGTCATCAAATCTCATCTTCCCCAATCTCTGACAACATGATTGCTCCATCAGACCTTACAACTCACCCTTCACCTACCCCTTTAAGGACAGCCACCCGACCTGAACCAATCCCTGATCCTCTTCCTACTTCAGTCCACCCAACTTCCCAAAACTGCCCTGACAACCTTGATGTAGCTGAAGTAGTATCCCTAGCTGTTGAAAAAGATGATGGAGCTCTTATTGAAACCCAACTAGCTCCGGAATATTCAAGCACAACTATAGAATACTACAACAACCTTGATGATTACCTCAAACTCTCTGGTGTAAATGAGACCAAGAAAAAGAAGAAGAATAAAAAGAAGAAGACAACCATTAATTCTGGATCTGACTTCTCCACCACTTCATCTCCCCAACTTGTTGACACCCCCAATACTTCCACCAAATTATTACCATCACCGCCTGTTAATGAACCAACCGCTGCCATAGGGGCCTTGTCTATTATTAGGGAAGAAGCCTTGGCTGCTCTGGAAAGAAAGGGCGACCCCCGCTACCGCCCAATTGAAGATTCAGAGTTTATTGGATTAGATGAATGCAATGACAGCCCGACTTCAACTCCCAACAACCCTACTTCAGCTCCCGACAACCCAATTTTATTTTATGTTTGATACCTTCACCCTCTGTCCCCTACACCTATCCTCCAACCTTCCTCACCTCCCAGTAGTCTCCTTTCTATATTAACTCCATTTTTCCCCAATCTCCCTGAGTTTTCCTTCCCAAATCAGCCACCACCCCTGAACTCTTCTACAAATCTCCTGCTTACTTTCCTATTTTTTCTCTGTCCTTGCTGCTGTTAATTTTCCCTTTCTTTATTTTCTTTTATAGGAGGGGAGACTGTAAGCCCTGCTCCTCACAGGCTTACACAAACCTGTCACAAGATTACATAAGCCTGTTTTCACCTTGTATTTAGTCTCACCCTTCTCCTTTACCTAGACAGCAGAGATTCTTCTCTCTGGTCTAGGTAAGTACCCTTTCTTCCTTCCTTCTCTTCTCATTTCCTTTCCTCACTCTCCTTCACTTGTATATACTAATGAGAGATTCTTCTCTCTGGTCTAGACTGAAATAAAACCCACTTTGGTACTAGAATCCTTTCTTCAGGAGCTATTGAGCCCTTGTCTAGTGCCTTTCCGGACGGACAGTGAAGGACTCAACGGAGTCCTTACACCTCCTCATAACATGAAAGAAATGATGTCATTTTTGGGATTCTGCAGTTACTACAGGCAACATATTCCTCAATTTGCCATAGTAAGTAAAAACTTGTACGCTCTATGCAAGGATGATACTATTTATGAGATGACCTGGGAAAGAGTACAAAATTATGAAGAATTGAAAAGATTGCTTACTTCAGCTCCAGTCCTAGCTCAACCTGATTATGAAAAACCTTTCATCCTCTACATTGATGCTTGTCTAGATGGGCTTGGAGCTGCTCTGCATCAAGAATTTGTTATAGATGACAAACCCATGGAGAAACCTATTCTCTTTATTTCTAGACAAATCAAAGAATCAGAAAGAAAATATGGAGCCAGCCAGATGGAATGCTTAGCTCTAGTATGGGCTCTAGATAAATTACACTACTACTTAGAAGGTTCTCACTTTGTAGTTATCACTGACTGCACAGCTGTCAAAACTCTGATGAACATGAAAACCCCCAACAGGCACATGTTAAGATGGCAAATTGCTATTCAACAGTATAGAGGACATATGACTATCATCCATAAAGCAGGCAAGAAACACATGAATGCTGATGGGTTAAGTAGATGGGCCCTCCCCAATACCCCTGATAACCCCGCCTATGATCCTGAGGATGAAGACATATTCCCTATTTTAGGAATTCACGTATGTGACATGGAAAATGCCTTTTATGAATTAGTCCAGAGAAGTTATGACCAAAATAGTGAATTACTAAAACTAGTAGAAATATTGAGAAATGACAGTAGCCCTCCAGAACTAGCAGCTAGTTTAACACCTGTTCTGTCCAAACATTATAAACTAGGCAAATTCACGCTATTTGATGGTTTGTTGTATTACAGACACAAACACTCAAGCGTACTTGTCTTATGTGATGAAGGACAAATAAAAAATATTCTTCAAGAATGTCATGATAATGTAAATTGTGGTCATTTTTCAGAAGAAAGAACAGTAGAAAGAGTCAAACAAACTGCATGGTGGATTGATTGGAAAACACAAGTTCATGAATACATCAAATCATGTGATACCTGTCAAAAAGCAAACAAACAGACAGGCAAGAGATTTGGACTGCTTCAGAAAATTGCGGAACCCACGGATAAATGGGAAATCATCAACATGGATTTTGTTACTGGATTACCTCCCGGAGGATCTTACTCTTACAACTCAGTACTAGTTATAGTTGATAGATTTTCCAAGAGGGCAAAATTTATTCCTAATCATAAGGATGATACAGCCATGGAAGTAGCTATGTTATTCTGGAACAGGCTAATGGCTGACGTAGGCATTCCCAAAATAATCATTAGTGACAGAGACCCCAAATTCACATCTGAATTCTGGAGAAACTTACATGATATGTTAGGAACAAAATTAGCTTTCTCCACAGCTTATCACCCTCAGACTGATGGCTTAGCTGAAAGGATGATACAAACTCTAGAAGACATGCTCAGAAGATTCTGTTCATTTGGATTTGAGTTCAAAAATCATGATGGATATACTCATGACTGGGTAAGCTTACTACCGGCCTTGGAAATAGCTTACAATAGTAGCATACATTCCTCAACCAAAGTAGCACCCTATATACTTGAGAGAGGATGGATCCCACGAATGCCCAAAGATACCATTAATGACAAATTACCTCAGGTACACCCTACAGCACTGGACTTCAAGAAAATGTTAGATTCCACAAATTTACATGCCAAGAAATGTGTTGAGGATGCTGTAGAGTATAATAAGAATAGATGGGATAAGAGTCATAAAGAACCTGAATTCAAAATTGGAGATAAAGTACTTCTGTCCACTGTAAATTTCAATAACCTTGGTGGGAACAAGAAACTCAAACCTTCATTTGTTGGTCCTTTCACTATTAAACAACTACACGGGAAAAATGCTGTAGAGGTCATATTGAGTGAAGAGTTATCTAGAAAACACCCTGTTTTTCCAGTAAGTCTTGTTAAACCTTACACTCAAAGAACAGCAGATACTCCTGTAACCCCAGAACCCGTACCAGTCTTAGAAACTCCTCCTACTGAGAAACTTAAGGTTCATAAGATACTCAAGGATAAGAAAGAGAGAGTACAGGGAAAAGATACTAGACTTTACCTGATAAGGTATAAAAACCAGTCAGCAGACAAAGATGAATGGCTACCTGAGAATAATATCCCGGATGGAGCTATACATTTGAGGAATTATAGAGCTTCCAAAAGAACATCCTAAGGAGTGACACAATTTTTTTTTTTTCTATCCCTCTTAAACTACTATTTCTTTTTTGTGAGTAAACTCATCTTAGGGGTAGGGAATGTCAGCTTGCTACTATGGCAGAGACAACCTGTCATAGCAAATATAATAATAAAGTACATAAAAAATCTAAGTATAAAGTAAAAATATTACATAAGTAAAAGAAACAATATTACTGATGATAAAAAATACATAAAAATAAATGAATAACTTAAAAAGTATAAACAAAACCTTAAATATTATTGCAGATTCTGAAGCAGCATACAATTTAACCTAGGGTACCTCAGCCAAAGGTACCCCAAATTATAACTCCTTCACCCTGTAATACATGCATGAATAATTAACAGGTACCCCCATATCACGGGTACTGTGACTCCTCTGCATAATGCATAATGCATATACTCCAAATCCAGTCTCAGAATTGGAGTATTGTGCACGGTTTAGAAGATAGAGCTGTGTGGAGTCCTGTCTCCAAGCCCACGCGCCACGTAGTCATGCTGCGCACCAGTATCCAAGGATTGGGCCACAAAAGCCCCAGAATCCCCATTGCACGTGACAACAAAGCCCCCACACGTGTAATAAGAATGTGAACAAGCTAGAATATCCATGAAAATACTACAGTAACCATATTCCAATGGGTAACACGTGTAGCAAGCCTCAGAAGACACCTCTGGAATATTCTGTGGCCCATTTCCAAGGAACCTGCTCCACGTAACAGAGCAGCCCCTATCTACAGGTCCCCATGGGACATTCTTGGCTGTAATAATTTCGTGCAGGGCCCCTTGGAGCTGCTGGAACATTATCCCCAAGGTTCCAGCCCTGGTTACATCACCATGTGGGCCAAAATGGGCCAAAAAGCGCCCCCAAGTCCTACTAAGCTCCCCTGGGCAACCCCTGAGGCCTTCCACAGGTACTTAAAGGGCCTTCTGACCGCCCAAATAAGGATCCCCCAGCTTTACAATACTATATAGAAACATACTTACCATTTACAAGTCCCCTACACTTGTAATTAGCCTAGTTATTACTATTTTTGCTGTTATTAAAGCCTCAAGAACCCTCAAGAAACTCCCCAGTTATCACCCAGCACCCAAAATCAACCTTTCTGAGCGCTCCCAACTGTCCAGTTTCAACTTTGAAGATCCTCAAGACCCCCTAGGATTATTACTAGTAAGTAATAACCCTTTTCTTGAGATTTTCCCCTTAAATTCTTCCTGGGATTTAAACCACACCTGTTCACAGGCCCCAGTGTTCCAGGTACCTAAATCCTCTGCTTTTGCACGATACCTTAGAGGGATTAAACCACCCCTGATTCATCAGGCCCCTCTGGTTTTATTTATATTAATTTTATTAATATAAATTGGCCATTTTTCCTACTAAATTTACGCCATAAATTCCTTATTTTATTGGAATTTATTCCTTTAGAATTAAAAACAAAAACCTTTAAGCTTTTTGCTTGCTTTTGCACCACGTGTAGCTAGAAGATTATACATCTTGGCATCACGTAGGCTGACAATATGTCATAATAATGAAGGAAAACCAAGTGAATATACAGTGAAATAATAGGGCTATGGAAAGGTATGGGTCACCACATCGGAATGGTCTCATTGTCGTCGTTGGATAGCCTCCTTAGCCAGCAAATTCATGAATCTTTTGCATCTCGATTATCACTATCAATTATTTCTTATCAAGCTCGCTTTCTCATTGAGAACTCTGATCGTTTATCAGCATAATGCTTGTTCAAATTCAATCTTTACTATCAACTATCACTATTAGTCTACTGTTTCTCATTGATCACACAGCCTTCTAGTCATTCAAGAACTCGTCATCATCATACTCGATCCTCTTATGATTGGTTCTAGTCACCACATCAACCATCTTCCTATTCTTGATCCAACTAACCCTCCTTTTCATTGGAATGGCTGTGTTTTAATCGCTACAACCTTCTAGTTGTCACAAGATTTGGTCATCAACTAACGGTATCACATCATCTGCACTGTTGCTCTGAACTATAATTGATTCTAGTCTAGTTGCTGCTATGGTCCCATCAACACTGTCGTTGTTTTTTCCTCCTGGTTTTATCCTCATCTTCCATCGAGGCTAGACCAGATCGCAAGGACTATAACACCGCCACCATCCTTCTCTTTATACCAAATCATCACCATTCATCCGACCGATCTTCATCACCATTCATCTGGCCGATCTAAATCAACATTATGAGACTCATCATCAGCATCATGTTCAGAGCCCATCTCAACCTCATCCTTCTGAATGATGTTTACTTCCTCTGTTGAGCTTGTTTCTTATTGTCTTATCATCTTTTGTCTACATTCAATATTATACAGTTCATTCATATTCTCAAAAGCAGGAGATAAGTTACTTTCTCTCTGATCTCACCTGAACAAATTTTAAAATGTATTTACATTTGTGTTTATTAGAGCATATCTTCTGAAAAACAGTTCGCTAGGGGGGGTGTTAGTATTCATGTGTTTTAGCTCTCTATTTTTCCTTTCAAACTCATCACTAGCATATTTATCTATTTATGCTTGTATCTTTCTGTGCTCTCATCAGTCCAGATTAGAATAGCTTTATACTGTTTTTATCTCACTTGTAGCATATTTACTTTACTATTTATAGTCTGAGTTTGTTCATCCAGAAATACAAAC